ACTAAACATCCTACAGTATTTTTACAGTCTTTATTTTACAGTTAAAATAAATGTTTATCAAATAAAGTCTAAAGTTACAACTAATCAAGGATCCCTTCAAAGATAGGTGTTGATAGTAGGCTTGGAGCAGGGACTTCACTGAACTGAAGCAAGGTTTTAAAGAGGAGTGGGCCCACTTCYCTCCACAGCCATGTGAGAAACAGTCTTGCAGAAAACACTTCAAAGTATTAGTTTTTCAGACTGTGGTGGCAAGATTTACCAAGAATGCAGAAACACGTTGGAATAAATGCACAGAAAGTCTGCGTGTATGGTCGTCAAATGATTTAATMTGAGCAACAACAAAGCAGAAGTCAATCRGCTAAGTCTGTCGAGTTGTGGCTGGCTCCTCAGCGTAGAGCAGCCGATAATACAGTATAACATCATGTAACATGCTTACAACCRATCACATTTARACAACTGTAACCACCTAACCAATAACAGGACTGTCAGCCTGGAAACACCTTATCAGAATAAAAGAGGTCATGCATTGCTGGAGTCTTGAAGTCTGGGTCGATAGATTAAAACAGCCAAAACTAGTTATCATGAGATATGATTACTGGACGGTGTCAAGGTAGAACAGATATACATAATTAATCCATAACACAGACAGTTTGTATTTTTTCATAGTTTTTAACAAATATTGCCACTTTACTATATTCTGTTGTTCATCTGAGGTTTTTTTTTTTTATTATTACCCTGATTTTTAAAACCTCTSAACTGAAATATTTGTAGGATGTTTTCTACTTTTACCTAAACCTGAATAATCAGGTTTTCCATGTTTCCTCCAAAGTGTGATAAATATAGGAGGGGGATCATTGATGGCTCAGCCTGCGCCAGTCTGTGTGACAAAGAAACACTTTACCTGGGCAGGTGTCTGTCTACACTAACAAATAACCAGGTAGGTGTGCTTTCTGTTACTTTATATTTTTGTAACTACTTTTACATTTACARTTGTATGTTTTAGTTTTTATTTGTTGGTTTTGTGACATTGTTGCCTTTGTATCAGGTGTACACAGGAGGCTGGGGAGAGCAAAGTGGGATTATCCGCTGCAATCTGGGAAAGGTGGTGCACTATGAGCTGGGAGAAGAACCAGAGCCACGAAGAGAGGCCCTCATGTTCGACAAGCCTACCAGAGGCACCTCAGTGGAGAAGTTCAAAGAGATGGTCTTCAACCACCTCAAGGTGGGAAGTGTTTGAGTAATAAAACATCCGATCASATTAAATCCATGATGAAGGCCTGACGTGTCTTCTCTGTCTGCCAGTTCAAGCTTGGAGAGCACACCAACCTCGCGACCCTCGTCAGCCAGATCCTCTCTGTCGCAGACGGCAACAAAGATGGACGAGTGTCGTTACAAGAAGCCCGATCAATGTGGGCTCTACTACAAATGGATGAGGTATCTCACAATTTATTTGTAAAACACGGTGCCACCAATGGCAGAGCCAGGGGTGGATTTAATACCAGCCACCCTGTTGGCTACCCCTACCGTTGCTTTGCTTGTAACCAGTGTAGAGATGTGACGTTCGCAAATGATCCGAATCTTTTGAACGGCTCTTTACAACAAACGATAGGAGCCGAATCGCGGGCAGTAACGAGCCATTTGTAGTTTTATTTCTTTTATTCCTCATATAATCTTTTTTTTTTTCAAACTTAAATCGCTCCCGCTTTGCTTTTTCACAGAAAACAGGCGGAGTTGTGGAGTACAGAAGCTCATGGGAAGGGGGAGGGGGTTTCCGCTTGACAAATCACATGGTTCCACCCACGTGACGGGATTATGTCATTACGTACGGCTACGTGATGCCGTATTTCCCTACGTGATAACTTAATACGTTCAAAATCGAACGGCTCTTTTGAACAGCTCTATGAAACAAACGGCTCCCCAAGATTCAGATCCCTTTAAAGAGCCATTTRTCCCATCCCTAAACCAGTGGTGGGCAGCGCTAATTCAAAAGTCAGTTGCACAAGTTCTAAAGCACTTACTCTCAATAAATCTTAGCAGAAGCTAATAGTAAAAAGCAAAATTGACTCAGAGTTCACCAGAGTATATTCCAGTGATAACATGAGCCACTCTTGTGTAATACTGCAGACTAGAGTCATTTCACTTTACTTTTACAGTGTTGCACATATCACTGCAGTTTGGGGAGGTGATTTGTTGAAACAGACTTTTGGTTCATGGTGATAAATAAACAGTTGTTGAGGATTGCTAGTTCTGCTGCTTCTTGGTCATTTTCTTATGGTTATGGTAGGGCTTCAGTCAGAAAGCATGTAGGATATATTAGTAATTTAAACTGTTTATTGGAGAATTGAAGTGATGCATTCTGGGTACAGGACGGATTGACGGGAAGCAAAAACACGGAGAACAGGAAACCATCTACACTTCAAAATAAGAGCATGAATTTAAACTTTTCCCTAATTATGTTATGGCTCCAGTTACAGCCAGTGGCTGCTGGTCAGTAGGGGGCGCTGGTTCGCCACCCCTCTGTATTTTTGGTACACAAAAATAAAATAACAAAAGAAAATGTTATAAATGTTTGACAATATATCGTATATATGTTTTCTTATAAGCRAAATAAATAATTTATAGTTATTGAAATGTAAACTTCTATTTTCACTCACCAACGTTTTCGTATGAGTCACTTCCGGGTCACGACTGTGTTCGGCGCTACAGATTCCCATACACAACTCTTTGACTTTAACATTGAGATTTAATCAGGGAGTCAAATATTTACATGTGTAAATATATTMTAAATTATACTATAATTAAAGTTGAGCCRTGCAAATTTATGTTTGTATCAAGTAGCCCTTCGTGTTACTCGAAGTAGCTCCTAGTCTCAAAGTGTGGTGACCCCCTGGTCTACATTATATTAACTTGAGACAGCTTTCTCCCTCTGCTGTTAAGCATAATGTTGATCAATACTTGATGAAATAATTTATTTAGCTCTACTGGATTTTAAAATTAGAAAGCACAAATCTGCACACAGTTAAAATTTTTTTTAGAAAAAACCCTAAAGAGCAAATGAGAAATTTAGGTCCACAATTAGCACTGTAGCTCTTCAGGGGACTCGTGCCCACCACTGCTGGTAACCTGTTCTGCATAGGTGCTACTGATTATGAGAGCAGTTTGACAGAATCATTTTTACTGGTAATTCTCCACCCAAACAGGTGGCAGCAGCACACTTTAATATATGATGRAGCTTGGTTGTTAAGAGCTTTAAATGTTAGGAGTAATATTTTAAATTCTATTCTGAATTTATCAGGGAGCCAGTGGAGAGAAGCTAAAACTGGAGAAATATGATCTCTTCCAAATATACGTGGAGTTTTTCAGACACCAAGATAAAGATTTACAATAATCCAGCACAGCTTTAGTTCAGTTGTTCAGGCCCTGGTAACATTTTTAATCACCTCCTGATCAACAATACCACTAAATTTCTTTACATTGGAAAAACATTTAGTATTATCTGACTGTCAGAATGGGTTTAGAGCAAAAAGATCAACTTCAATRGCAGTGATGCAGTTAGTAGAAGATGTAGCAAATGGAGTTTACTGTTGGAGTGTTTATAGACKTCAAAAAAGCTTTTGATACCATAGATCATGGCTTACTGTTAAATAAACTGGAACGATATGGTGTGAGAGGATTAGCACATTCATGGATAAAAAGTTATTTGGATCATAGATATCAATATGTACAAATAAATAATGTGTATTCTAATTTACTGAATGTTACCTGTGGAGTACCACAAGGGTCTGTACTGGGTCCAAAACTTTTTTTATTTTATAAAAATGGTCTTTGCAATGTATCTAAATTACTAACATTCACCTTATTTGCTGATGATACTACATTATGTTGCTCTGGTAATAGTTTGGAACGGCTTCTGAATATAATGGAAATAGAATTAAAGGTTTTAAAGATTTGGTGTGACAAAAATAAACTATTACTAAAGCACGATAAAACTAAATATATTGTATTTAGTGATAAAGGAATAAAAATGATATAAAACTGAAGATAAATAATACTGAAATAGAAAGTGTAGGAAATTATATTTTTAGGAATGACACTTGATTACAAATTGGATTGGAAAGCTCATATTGAAAATGTAAAAGCTAAAATGTCAAAAACTATTGCAATATTACATAAAATAAAACATTTTCTA